CTGGCAGCCCCACTGCAATTTGGAGCTCAGTATCAAAGGTACTGGCCAAGGGGCATCCTGAAGTTCCCCAAGTGAGCTGCTTGGAATGTGAACAACACAATGCTAAAACCTCATGTCCTGTTTTCTCTGGATTTTAATCCAAATACTGAGTTTACTACAGTGGCTCCTCTAAGAGAAGTACTAAAATAGTGGGTGGAAGTAGCACGTCACTTGTCCTGGGGTTATGCCCTGGAAGAGCCAGCATGGGCAGGGAGGGCAGGGCCAGGCATCCCAGGGCACCACCCACGCTGGGGAAGGCACTCATGTTGACCCCGAGCACTGTCTTTGGAGTCATCATTGTGGGTATTTTAAGAAGAAAATGATAAGTACACATGTTTAAAAACATACAATTTTGCCTGAAGAAACTAAAATGATACGCCACATGCCACTGTCCCCATTTTCTCAGGACCYCGCCAGACCATCCACAAGTGCATCCTCCTCGCAGCCCGACGGGGAAGCTCTGAATTGCCTGGAAGCTCATTGCTCAACTGCTTAAGGCCTTCAGTGACTCATGGTTCCACAAGTGCCTTATTTTCTGGCCCCAGATGTGCGTGGGTTCAAATCCCCATCTKCCCACTCCTGTCCCTGCTGGCCTTGTGATCCAGAACTCTGTATGCCCCTGCACCAAAACCAAGTTCAGGCACAGCCTCCTCCCAGGACTTCATCCTTTCTCCTTTGACCATCTGACAAGCGCACGCCCCTCCTTGAGGGCAGCCTCACTCAGCCTCACCTGCAGCACTTTCCTGCCTGTCTACAGCGAAGGCAAAGGGGAGTGGGTTTCTCATGCAGCCTGGAGCCACCCACGGTGCACAGGACTCATGGCCTTGGAGCGGTTCCTCCTGAGCCTTTCTCCTGACTGGACTGGGAGCTCCTGCCCTGGTGATAAAGACCCCGGCCCAGCAGGGTGCCTTTTCTGGAATGAAATGGGGAATACAGAATCCATTCTCAGAAGAGAGGCTGCCATGAGCTAAAGGTGGTCATCCTCCCTCTCACTACCGGTGCCTGTGCATGATCGCTCTTCTATCCCCTCACCTACCCAGGTCTTGCCGAGCTCTAGCTGCAGGCCCAGTCTGAGGGCACACCTATGGCCCCATGCCCAGCTCGTCTTCTCTCCCACCCCAGGCCCCCCTGTGCCTGTTGTGCTGAGCTGTTCCCAGTGCCTGGATGCTTCTTGCTGTTTCCTGCTTTGGACTTTTGCACAGACAAACTCTTCTTTCTGGAAAGACTTTCTGAAGCTCACCCATCTGGCAAATTCCTGCTGTCTTCAAATCAGCTAAGGTGGTAGCAGCCTTCTCTAGAGCAACAGAAATGAAGGGCTTAGAGCCGGTCTCACCAGGTGGCATTTGTGGAGAAAGGCCCGCCAGACTTCAGAAGCCACCTGTATCTTCCCACTGTCCCCACCAACCAACTAGAGCAGCAGAATCTTTTTCTCCAAGTGGACTTTGAATGGGCAGCTCACACACACATGCAGGCAAAGGAGAAAGGAGACCAAGAGACTAGGCTCTGAAGGCCATCTGTTCTAGGAACTCAACCAAGTCATTTTATCTAACTGGCAGCCAGATGGGCGTGGGTTCAAATCCCAGCTCATTCAACCCCTTATTCTAAAAACACACATGCCACCACCTGACTTTCTCGTGAGCATTAAATGACTTATAAATGTTCAGTATTTCACAAATATTTCATTTTCTTCCTGAATGGAACATGCATAAAGGTGAGTATTCTCCTCACACACTGTGCACACATACCTGCACACGCATTCTAGGTCGGAACACATACTCACAGACCAATTTACCCTCCCTGGGCCCCACCACAGAGGACAGGCTCAGAGTCTTGCCCCCACTTGGGAACTCAGCACAGACTGAGTTGCCTCAGTTTCTCCTCTGCTTTTCAGTCACACTTTAGGGGCACATTTAAAATGACCACGGCATCTGGATCTTGCTGGGAGACACCTACTTGGTCCCCAGGCTGTGTGAAGGGCCATGTTCTACAACCCACCCTCTTTTTTCCTTTTTGGGGGACTCCAAGTCTCAGCAATGCAAACACTTAGCAAAAACAGTGAAGCATTATACAATTACCTAAAGATGTTTATGTTTTAGTTTATTTGTTTTTCACCAAGAATATTTGACATTTATATATGTAAGAGAGTTGGGAAACCAACTCTGCATATTTAACAGTTATTGATGAGACTTAAAGATGGCAAATAYGTGCCTCATTGCTGCTAAGGAGCACCTAGGAACAACTCTGGAGACCCATTTGGCAATATAAATCTTGAGTCTTAACATATCAATTTCTCAAATCCCAGAATTCTGCTTTGCAGAACCTGCCCATGAAATAATCAGGCCTCAGAAAAGGGCTTCGGGTACCAAGTGACTCCCTCATGGTGGGGTTCTCATAATGCGCAGAGTCAGAAGCAATCCAAAGTCCACCAACCAGGGCCTGGGTTAGTGACCTGGGGGAACTGACAGGCAGCTGTGGCTGTCGCCTCCGTGCTGCCCTTACCTGTGAGCCCCTGGCTGGACTGTGGCGTTGTGCAAGCAGAGCATGGAACATGGATGAGTGAGTGCATGTGCATACAACATAGATGAATGAGTGCATGTGCATACAACATGCAGGACGCATGGTGAGAGGGACAGCTGGCCATTTGGAAACACCAGGGGAAACAACAAACTACGCAACACTCCAGGTGGACTACAACCAGGACAGACGAACAGAGCAGCCTCAGATGGGCCGGTAAGAAGCCCAGCATAGGAGCTGACACAGAGTAGCTTCTAAGTGACTCTCTGGTTTGCCTTCGACATTTCTATATTGTTTGAATTTTCTATAACAAACAAGCATAACAGAAACCCGCTCCTGAGGTTTGTTGACAATTAAACATATAGCTCAGTGCTGAGGACAAACTGAGTCTCCATGAGACATTTGAAAGTCTTAAAAATACATGATGACTTTTAACCAGACACAACATGCTTACCTACTTGTTTCCCACAAACCTGTGCAAAACTAAGAAAAGGGAAAAAAAAGTTTGAACTCATAAAGATAATGAAAGAAGGAGGGGAGGAAGGAAGGAAGGTAGGAGAGAAAGAGAAAGAGAGAGAGAGAGAGAGAGAGAGAGAGAGAGAGAGAGAGAGAGAGAGANAGAGAGAGAGAGAGAGAGAGAGAGAGAGAGAGAGAGAGAGAGAGAGGAAGAACGGAAAAGAAAAGAGAGAGAAGGAGGGAAGGACAGTGAGCGGAGAGCACTAAGAGATTCCAACACCATCTTAGATGAACGCGGGCGACGGTGTCCTGTGAGCAGAGCAGCAGAGGAAAGAGTAGTGCCTGTTGGGGCTGCCAGGGGGGCACTAAGCTGCACCGTGGCTCCACGGGACTCAGGATGCCCAGGACACCCAGGGCCATGGAAGACAGGGAGCATGGGGCTAAGACAGGAGGAGACCCGAAAACCCGGGCCTGGGGCACCGTGACGACCTCGGGCTGCACTACACTCCTGGGCTCTGCAGGGAACCACACTAGTGGCCACATTGGCTAAATGTCTGCCCGATTCCATCCGCATCTTGACGTTGCCACATTTTGAGGATGAAGAAGAGAGACAGCTAGACTCAGTTTGTCAAAGCAGAGCACAGCAGCCACTTCTCGGACTGACAGAACAAGGGACGGTGGCGGCACACAGGGCAGATATGTGGAGGCCAGGGTGAGAAAAGAAGCAGGGAAACAGCTGATAGCCGTGGCTCCTGATGGCAGTGGCTGGAGGTAGAGGTGATACAGGGAAGTGGTGRTTTGTGTTGATTTTTAACCATAAGTCTTCTGGGGCATTTTGATTATTTCAATTGAGTGTGTACATTAAGTCTGGCTCAGACACGTGTCACCAGATAGGCTTTGGTGTCCTGACATCGCTGTGAGCCCCACCTCTGCTCTCCACAGCAGGCTGACGACACACAGCGTTGCTGTGCTCCCAGAGGCTAGTGCCTGCTCGTGAGTGTAAGTGCTCAGCACGGCCATTCTGCAGAGACGCCCAGGAAAGAGGTCACGCACGCACCTCTCGGAGACGATCCCAACATTAGCTATTTTCATGTGTGAAGCCAACCGACCACTTAGGTGGAGGACATTGGATACTTTAACCATAGCCTTGGCATTAAATGACTCCATCCTACATGAGCTATGTTCAGCTCTTCAGCAAGGCCATAATAACAGGTGTCCAGGACCCCTCAGACATCATGTCACAGGCCAGGAATTAGCATCACGTGGCCTCCTGGCTGAGCCATGCCTGGAGCCCAGGCTGAACCTCTAATTTCCTGACAGAGGGAAGAAGAGGAGGGAACCCTGTGGCAAGGCCACATGGGCCTGCAGCCCCCAGCTGGGTCCCAAGAAGGGACACTCCCAGCTCTTCCTTCCCTGTACCTTCTGCCACCTCGTGGCCWCTCAGAGCATGCCGTGGGGATGGACTGGGGACCCAGACAAGCAACATGCAGCAGGAACTGCAGCCTCAGCCTAGGTGAGCTCCTGGGCCCCTGGTCTGCCCCTGGGCTCCTAGGCAAGGAGCCAGTGCTTCATCCTCACGTCACCTTCACTGTCCCCAGTCACTGTGAGTCCAGCTAGTAAGGAGCTAGCTTCTTCTACTTTTTGGCCCCAGCACATTCTTCTTGACATTGCCCCGCATGGTGCTGGTCTGGTCCTCACTGGTGAGGTGAAGCAACCCAGAACAGACACTGGAGGGCTGGGCTCTAGTGCTCCTCTGACCCAATTCGCTGTATTCCAGGAAGAACTTGAGTAACTCTGAGCCATGGTTTCCTCATCTGTGGGGTGGGCATGGTGCTGACATGAGTCCTACCCACGCAAGTGTGTAACCCGCAGGATACAGAGTTCAGGGGGAAGTCTGCTGCCAGCTAAACTATAAGCAAAAGCAAAGCAAGGAGGAAACAGAAGAGGAGATGGTGCTCTCCCAAGGAAGGGCAGGAAGACAATGAACTCACCTCTTCCTGTGAGGGGAGGCAGGACTACCGAAGGACAGAAACTGGGGGCATCGCTGTAAGCACCTGAAAAGAAGAAAAGGGCAGCCTTTAGCTCATCCCCCCACCCCCCAGAGTCATGAGCTCTGAAGACCTTGGCAGAGCTCCAGGGTAGTGGTGGGGAAACTGGACTCTGCTGACAGGCTGCGCCAACCTGCACCTCCTGGGCCTTGGGGGAGAGGGCACGGAGTGGAGCCCCCGCCCTGCTGCTCTAAGCCCTGGGACCTGGGGCTGTTTGTTACCTCTGCATAATCAGGCCTGCCACATCCCAGAGAGCAGGAAGCTAGGGACATGTGGCAGCCCACACCAATGCCTGCCCCCGTCACCTACTGACTGAGCCTGGGCGAGGCACAGCAGCGGGTCAGGCCTGTTTCCACACAGACCGCCTGCCTGGAGGGGTGCTGAGAGAMCTCAGGAGACGTGCAGTGCACGACATTTGGCACTTCCAGGCACAGGAGGGCAATAGCAGCAACTGTTCATGGCAGGGAGCCTGGCATGGGGACACCTGGGTCTGAACTTGACATACCATGGAGCAGCAGTGCAGAGTGATGAGTGCTAGCGTTGCTAAGAGGAGGAGGAAGTGAGAATCAAATGAGAAGCCCCTCGAACCCAGGGGGTGGTTTGTAAGGCCTGGTATCTTCCTCCCTTTCCTCCTTCCTTCCTGAACAAATCCAACTCGCCAAGGCCTCCCCATACTTTTATCTTCCAATGGCCCAAACCAGGACTGACACGGGATCTCCTGGCACTCACGGGAACTACTGTGAGGCATGAGCAGCTGTCAAGAGCAAGGACTCTAGAGCCAGCCACCCATGGCAAGATGGGCTTGGACACTTTCCCACTTTGAGATTTTGAGAAGATTACTTACCCTCTCTGTCCTCAGTTTCCTTGTCTATAAAAAGGGGGTTAACAGTACCAATCTCAGGGTTGTGAGATTGCCAGGAGTTGATATATGCAGTTTTGTCATACAGTAGGTGCTCAATAGATGCKGGCTACTGTTCCTTTATCATATTAGCCTTCCACAGTGCACACTGTTGTCATGGTCTCTGATCTAAGTCTGCCTCCATGGTTCAGAGCCCTTCATTAGTGTCTCCTGCCTGCTCTACTTCAGTCAGCTGTGCTCAGATAAAAGGGCTCATGTTGAAATTCAGTTGCCACTGTGACCACCTTGGGAGGTGGGACCCTAAGGGACGATCTCAAGGGCTCCACCCACAAGAATAGCTGGGTGCCACTGCAGGGGGAGCGGGTCGGGTATCTCAGGAGGGGCTCTGTTACAAAAGCAGGCTCTCTCCCTCGCGTCTCTTGCTCTCTCTTGCTCTCTCTTGCTCTCTCTCCCTCGTCATGTGATGCCCTCCACCATGTAAAGGCACGGCAAGAAGGCTCTTTTCACACTGGATTTCCCAGCCTCCAGAACTGTGAGAAATAGGCCTGTTTTCCTCATAAGTGGTGCAGCCTGTGCAGTCTGCTCTAGCTGCCTGAGGCAGAGATGCCAGCCCCTCAGGCTCCACGCCTTCCCTCGCACTGTCCTTCCCCAGCTGGCTCCATTGCTGGAAGGACCGGCCACCGTCATGCTAAGGCTTTGGTTCTCAGTCTTCAGCAGGCATCAGAGTCACCAGGAGGGCTTGAAAACACCTGCAGGGCCCCACCCAGAGTTTCTGATCCTGCAGTGGCTAGGGCTTCCCTGTGACCTTTCTAGCAGATTCCAGGTGATGCTGTGCTGTGGTCCAGGGACACCCTTTGAGGACCACTGACCCAAGGCTCACGCCATCCACATCCACACAGAACACTACTACTACCCACTTCCTCCCCACTGCGCTACACCCTGCCAGCAGTTCCCTGCTTGTCACCCCGCCTTGCTGTCACTTGTTTGTCTAAATGACTGTACTTCCTGGAAGAGATTCTCAGGATAAGAATCTTGAGAGTGTGCTCTTCAGGGAGCAATTTGACTATCTATATTGAGGTGAGGGCACTCAAATGCCCAGCAGTTTGGCTTCTAGAAATCTATCTAAAGATTCAAAGCAAGCTCTGTTTGTAAAGGAAACCCGTGCACAATGCTGATGGAAAAAGGAGCCTCCACGTCTACTGCTGCGAGATGGGGCAGGCGAGGGAGCCGCGGCCCGGTGCTGGGGAGCCGGAGCCGCTGTGCAGAGCACTGGCCCCAGTCTGCTGCAGTTGTCTCCCCCTTTTCCTCCCACATCAGTGAGGACAGGCGGTCAGCTGCACAGCCCCTGCGGGGTCCAGCGCAGGGCGAGCCCTGAGGGTTCCTCACTCCCCTCCCAAGCCCTGAGGGTTCTTAGTGTCGGAATTGAATTCAGTTATTGCACATGCTGATGGTGTCCAGGAATGGGAACTGAAAACATCTCTAGAGCAGTCACTGGGAGGATGAAACTCCCGGAGGACTCTCCCTTGGGCACCTCCTGTGTGGAAAGCTGCTCAGCTAGTTGACCTGCTGAACAGATGAACATGACCTCTCTGGGCTCTGCGGCCCAAGGGCGCCCTGAGCCAGTTGGGCAGCGGCTTCCCTGCTCTGCTCTCCGCAGCAGCGAGCTGACAGTCTGCAGTCAGCCAGGGTGTTCACAGCAGGGACGGTGGGGTGCACTTATGATATTGTAACATAACAGGAAATAGAGCTGTTCTTCAGCTTAGCTCTTGGCACAGAGCTCCAAAACCCTGTCATTTCCTCATGATAGGGGGACAGAAGCATCTTTTGTTACAACATCTTATTTTAGTCTCTGGTTCCTGAAACAAGAGCTTCTAGGGCCCTTAGGCTCTCTGGAGTGTAAAGTGCACACTAATGAGCTGACCCGCAATCATGGGGTGGGGCTAAAGAGCTTCGGGATGGGGTAGTGGCCACCAAGGCTAAGGCAGGATCAGAGGGTTTTCAACCCTCCCAGACCTCTATGGAGAGGATAGGGCTGGAGAGGGGCCATTCCTTCACCAGTGGCAATGACGGAGTAAACTGCCTACGAACAGAACTTCCACAGAAACCCCTAGAGAGTGGGTTTGGGGAGCTTCCAGGAGCAAGAGCAGGGAGGTGCTGGGAGGGGATGCACCCAGACTGGGCCAGGAAGCTGCCGCCACCCCTCCTTGCCTTGTGCATCTCCTCTGAGTCAGGCCGGGACCCCAGGGAAGAGGGCAGACGCATCGCTCGGCCTCAGCCCTGGTTTGCTGGCTACTGTGGAAGGGCGCCTGCCTCTCCCTGCTCTCGGGCCTCAGCTCACGGCTTCATCCCTCTCCCTCTCCACAGTCCTGCCATCCTCAGAAACCAGGTGCACATTGAGCCAGGACACCCTTGCAACAAATGCCCAAAGATGCACAATGTAGAGGACAGAGCTGTTGAAGAGTCACCAGGACAGCGAGATCCCAAGGCCCTGGTCTTACTATGGCATGTGCTGTCCACGCCCCCCTGTTCTCTTAAGAACCATGGAACTCACACAGCACTCAGCACCCCATGAGAGATGTGCTGTTTGGTGCCACAATGGCCAACTCCCCCTCCCTCGGGTTATAGTGCTTGACCAGGGAAGAAAAAAACTTCTAAAATGCACTTAAAGTCAATTAACTTTCTCCAACTCTAGCTAGCACATCCGACCACCCTTTATAAGAATGAAACTAGCTTGTTCATCCTGAGAGCTGGCCTGACCCTCCCTTGCTCATTGGGGCCTCTCTCTCTGCTCCAATGAGCAGCCTCACTGAGCTGGTAACACTTTCGTGTGTGTGTGTGTGTGTGTGTGTGTGTGTGTGTGTGTGTGTGTGTGTTTGAGGATGGAACCCAGGGCCTCACACATGGTAGGTAAGCTCTCTACTACTGAGCAACACCCTAGTCCAAGTTATAGCTTTTATAATGAACTAGTAATGATAACTAGTTTCTATTCGTGCAGATTACCACAGGAATCCACAATTTATGGCCAGGTGCTCTGAGTGCAGGGGGGCCTGGCTTTGCAATGAGGGACGGTTTGACAGTGGGTTCTGACTTTCAGTCTAGTTTCTTAGTGTCGGAATTGAATTCAATTATTGTACATACTGATGGTGTCCAGGAATTAGAGAATTTGCTGGTGTAAGAGGAATAAACCCCACACATTTGGTGTCAGAAGTGTTGTGAATAAGAAATAGCTCTCACCCCCACCTTGGCCAATTGTGAAATACTTGCCAGCACAGCACCAAGTTGGGGTAAGAATAGGCCCTACCCCATCAGGTTGTTGGATTAAATGAGAGAGTGCATACAAACACCAACCTGGTGCCTGGCCAGGTCTGGGCTGGTGAACTGTGGGAGCTGTTCCCAGATGGAGGTGATAAGGAACAGGTCCTAGGGTGGACTGACCTGATGTGGGCTTTCTACATGGGTCACACAAAGGCACAGTTAGAGGAACTTGCTTCTTCCTTCCCAGGCCCTGTTCCATATCTAGAACTGCAACAGGGCCCAAGTGCACTGGCTAGAAGCGAGAAACTGTGAGAATTTCTTTTTTTAGAAGACCCATTTGACTTCATAGACAAGGCAAAGACCCTGCCCCACTTGTAGGCCATGCACAGCTGCAGATAGGAGGGGCAGCCTGGTTCTCTTTAATAGCAGAGGAGACACCACCCCACAGCCCACCCCTCTGAGGAAGCTCTGGGCTCTGAGGCATTGGTGACCACAGAGCAGCCCCCCTGCCCCCGCATTCCCATCCTGGCCCTCTGGATGGATGCATTTCCTCTCTGCATCCTGCTACGCATAAGGGCTGCAAATAGCCTCATTTGCATTTGTCACTGTCTAGCTGGAGCCTCTGCTGACCGGCACTGAGCTAAAACACAGAGTTTCCTGTTCCCCTTGGACAGGAAAGAGCTCTTGGAGGCCCTCTGGGTGCTCCTACTGTCGGTTTTGTGCCTTTGTCTCAGGAACGTGGGGAGGCTCAGCTTCACCCTTTGTTCATGAGCAGGGAACAAGAACTGGGTTGCAATGGTGGGTGTGCTGGCCACTCCCCCTGGGGCTGGGAGACAGGACTAGGCCTCCCTGGAGCCTGCAGCCTGGTGTCTCCTAGCAGTGACACAGGTTCCTTCTTGCCTCCTCCCTCTGCCTGTACCCCAGGCCGACTCTTCCCTGGAGGCACTTTGCACTATCCCAGGTAGAAGTCCCCCTTAGCTGTCAAGCTCTGGAGACACACCTCCCCACCTCCAGTGGGTCCCACCAGAGCAACAATGACAGCACTGCCATTCTCTGGTCCCAGAGAGAAGGCTCACCTCCTCTGGGTGGGGTAGGAAGGGGACTCACTTCACAGACGTAAGTGAATCCAGGGGAAGTGCCTGCCTCCTTAACCGGACAGGCAACCATTGGTGGCAGGGTGTCCCACCCTCTGTGCCCCATTGGGCAGAGTTCAGTGAACATCACTTCCTGTCCCTTCCCAGGGCAGTTCCTCAACAAGAGGGAACCTAGCGCTGACCAGAGCCTTGAGCAAGGCCAGCACCTGTGGCTGAGATTCTTCACACAAATTCCTTGGTACAGTTCCTGTCTCCTGTGCTGGCCGAGAACTGGCAAGGAGGGTCCTGCCACCCTTTCGGGCAGAGGCCCAGCCTTCCCTGCCCCATAGAGACCGTTCCCTACAACTTGCGCTTGGCTGATTCACAGATAAGGATGGGACATGGTAATGACGGTGTCAACTTATGCACTGGAATATTCCAACAGTATGCTAGTGTGGTTTGTCTACCAGGGAAGACAGGATCCCAGACACACTAAGGTGCTGAACCCACTCCTGTGTCTGCTGTGGCTCAAAGGACACAGGAGACAAGAGGGGCTTAGTGCTGCTCAGCAGGACCCACAGGGAGGACAGCCTACTCTCTTCAGTGAGGTTCCGTTTCTGTGCCTAGGCCCTAGGAGGAGGGTCCTATAGACTCAAGGCTTACCCCACCCCCACTTCTGATGGAGACCCCTAGAGGGAGAAAGACCTGCTCCATTCCGAGGGGCAGTTATGCCACACACAGCACACAGCCGCTGGCAGCCACCCTCCTGTTGTGAAAGGGAACCACAGAGCTACTTATCCAGAATGCCCATGAGCCAGCAACAGCCCAAGGTGGCCCCCGCCCAGGACCCTGTGAGGCAGAACAACAGGTGGGGCTCCGTAGCATTCCTTCCCTCCTCTCACACCCAATTCTGACAGCAGGCAGCCTGTGTGTGAAAGGCGGCCTGCCTGGGCAGTAGACTGCAGGAAGTGACCTTTGGAGCTAGAAGGGGGCCCACAGAAGGTGTTCAGCAGCAAATGTCCAGGACTTCCAAGCAGGATTGATTTCTGGATCCCGCAGCACTTAATGCCTGAGACTCACGCTAGTCCACAGCCCTTCATGCTATTCCTACTCATAGACGCTCATGTCCCCCTCTAGTCTGAAGCTAAGAAAAATGACCATATTTTATTAATCTTGCATTTCTCAGTATCCAACACCAGACAGGATATGGTATAAACAATTAACAACTTTCAGAGCTTCTGGTTTACGACATTAGAGACCCAGCACCAGGATGGTTCATGAATCTAGAGTCTGTGGCTCCTCAGTAGACTGAGTGCCTAGAGAAAGGCCTCTGTCCAACTTGCAGTCCCACCAGCAGTGTATGAGTGTGCCTTTCCCCACACCTCGCCAACATGTATTGTTGTTTGCCTTCATAATAGCTGGCATTCTGACTGGAGTGAGATGGTATCTTAGAGTGGTTTTGATTTGCATTTCTCTAATTGCTAGAGATGATGAACATTTTTTTCATATATTTGTTGACTGATTGAATATCCTCTTCTGAGAAGTACCCAAAGGACTTAAGTACAGGGACACAGCCATATCAATGTTTAAAGCAGTATAATTCATTATAGCTAAACTGTGGAACCAACCTAGATGCCCTTCAGTAGATGAATGGATTAAAAATTGTGGCATTTATACACAATGGAATATTACTCAGCAATAAAAGAGAATAAAATCATGGCATTTGCAGGTAAATGGATTTAGTTGGAGAAGATAATGCTAAGTTAGCCAACCCCAAGAAAACAAATGGCGAATGTTTTCTCTGATATAAGGTGACCTACTCATAGTGGGGTAGGGAGAGGGAGCATGGGAGGAATAGATGAACTCTAGATAGGGCAGAGAGGTGAGAGGGGAAAGGAGGAAGCAGGGGGTTAGCAATGATGGTGGAATGTGATGGATGGACATCATTATCCAAAGTACATGTTTGAAGACATGAATTGCTGTGAACATACTTTATATACAAACAGAGATATAAAAAATTATGCTCTATATGTGCAATAAGAATTGTGATGCATTCTGCTGTCATGTATTTAAAAAATAAAAGCAATTAAAAATAAATAAATAAAATGTTAAAAGAGAGAGAGAGAGGCCTCTGACTTTTCACACTCAGTGATGCGACAGTCTCTAGAGTAGTAAAGGCCCAGGTCCCCATTCTAACTCTGTTATTTACCTGCTGTGTGCCCCTGGCTGAGTGATTTAACCTCTCTGAGCCACTATTTCTTCATCTGACCTAGGTGTGGGGACTAAATGAGGTCATGCTTGCTGCATGCCGGGCATCCAGACAGACACAGTAAGAGCTCAATGATCAGAGGGCCAGTTTTGCAGAACGAGAGGTCTGGCAGATGATCAGGCCATGTTTGCCGAGTGAGAGCCCCTCTGTGGGTTTTCATTCCCTGCTCTGTGGTTTCTGCTCAAAACCCCTGAGTCCCCAGTATGACCCCACCGAGTACATCCTGGAAAAAGCCAGTGGTCTGGGCAGGCGATGGAAAGAAGCAGAACAGCTGGAATGAGTGGGGACGACCAGGACCGCGGGGTGCTCCCTTGCCAGCTCCTGTCAAGAGCTGTGCTGCCTGCTCTGATTCTGTTACATTTCCGGCAGATGGAGTACTGCTTGAGCTCCTTCTTACCCAACTCTTCCATGACTCATGTGAAGATGGAAAACGGCATTTTTCACTCTGGCAGGGTGAGGCGCTGAGGGGGGAGTCGGGCCAGGAGGCTGTCCTCAGGGGCAGCGTCCTGGGCAAGCGTCCCTCCTCTGTGTCCTGCCGGCTAGAGCAGGGGACTGCCCCCAGTGGAGCACCCTTCCCTGAGGAGAAACCCACGGACGCTACTTCACTACCCAGCTCTCCAGGTTGCCTAACATAATTCAAGATGCTAAAAGAAAAGGCCAACAGAGTGGATTCAGACCAAGTCACAGAGGCAGAAGGCAGGCGTCAGCAGCAAGATTCCAGTCATTCTGGAAATAATTAATCCCCACGCCCCCCCACCAAAAAAAAAAACCTACTCCCAGCAGGAGGTCAAGGAAGCAGAGCTCAGCAGGGTGGAGGGCCAGTCCTGCTGGGAGCCTCCTGTGCTCCTCTCAGTTCCCAAGCTCTGGACTAGGGGCACCCCTGGTGGGCTGGGTTACCAGTCTGCTGGCCTTCCTCATCCTCACTTGACTAAGTCACTGCTTGTCATTCATGTGAGCTGGGGAAACCATCTGAACAGGCTTCTGGACATCCTAACATCTATCAGCTTGAAGACCTGCCAGAGACAACATCCTACAGGGAGATTGGGGTCACCAGATTTGGGTTTGCAACTTCACTCTGTTCCTGACTGGTTGTGAGGTTTGGGCCAAGCACCTTCAACTTTGTATGCGACACACTTATCACCCTAAAATGGAGGCGATTATGTCCACTCCAAAGGGCACCATGGATACCGAGTGACACCCCATGTGGGTCCAGCACCTGTCTGTCACACGATGGACATGCTATAATTGGAGGAACCTCCCTCCAACCCCAGGTTTGTTGGCACTGGCTCAAGCTGCCTGACCCTCCTTCTGTCATGGGTGGACTAACAACCCACGCTCTCTTCCCTAGATTTAAAGCCTGATCACAAGAAGAAACCCCATGGAGCAGATGGGAGACAACTATGGCACCTTAAAAAGCCGGCCCCTTGTTCTTGCTGAATCCAGCCATGGAGTCTGGTCCATTTTCACCCCTCCTGAGGTCTAGTGGGTCATCTTTCTGTTCGGCCAATGAGAAGACTCCCAACACATTTCTTCTCTGCTTAAGTTTAATGCAATCAGTTTCTGTGGCTCGCACCCAGTGAACCCTGACCACTCTCCTTCCCAGCCCCAGGACACTGTCCTAATGCACGGTTGGGACACAGTCAACCAAAGGTTCCCACAGAGCTGTGAGGAGCTGGTTACTCACTGGGCTTCTGGTACCACCCAAAGGGATAGGTGTGGGTCTCTGTGTCAGGAGAGCCACAGTCCAAGATGCGCCAGGCTCCTGGGTTTTCCTCACTGCACGTCTGAAGTCCCATGCTGCTCAGGGTCAGGCATGTCACCTCTCCTCCTGGAGCAAAATAGCCAAGACCAGAAAAATGAACACAAGGGGAGATTCTGATTGGATGAGAAGAACTCTGCAGATCATGGTCCAGCACACACTGGGGGCCACCCCGCCATTCCAGGTAGGTCTCAGCCACTGAGGGAAACCTGGTGCCTGCACTCGAGAGCCTCTGGCCGGGGGCTCAGGGACAGAGACAGCTGCTGCTCACTGTGCCGGCCTACCACGTACCAGAGCTGCACTGGGGCTTCTCGTGTCACTTTACCTGGTCCTCTCACAACCTGATGAGGACATAGTTGTAAAGGTGTATTCCTATTCGTAGGTGAGACTGTGACTTATCCAGTACCACTCCACCAGTAAGTGACTGAACCATGTTTTAAACACAGATTAAAATATGAGGGTATCCAAAGTTCACCCCACCAAGCCACTGGATGGGAGTTCTGAACCACGAGCAGAGGACATCTCCGAGGAGCATGGAAGGAAGGACGGCTATTTGGGTCCGGCAGAAACGCCTCTGTGAGGTCCACAGGTCACCCCACCAGAAGCCGTGTCCCACCATCACACTAATAATCATTTCTGAGCCCACGCCCCTTCTTGTGAAGGGGCATCCTGAAGGAGTGTCCGAGGACCAGACAGGTCACAGATGTGAATGTGGTTTCTAGACTGTGAAGTGCTGGGCACAGGGAGAGGGAGTTGGGATCATTACCTTTTAACTGGGAAACATTAAGAAATCCAAAGCCAGTGCAGCACGGGTCCGCGTCACACCGGCGCTCGCATTCAAAGAACCTGGCATCAGCAGAGAAAGAAAGAAAGAAAGAAAGGCCTGAAGACCTCGGTGGGCCCAGGGACCGGCTTTCTTTGTGGCTACTCAAGGGTGGGTGCTTTGGCCAATGAGCAGGAGTGTGTTCCTAGCTTTGAGATTCCTCCTGAAAACAAAATTCTGCTCTTTTCCCAAACTGTGGCCTAGTCACCCTTCATTGGTCCACTCACTTGTTCACCAAGCACGGGTTCCGTGCCAGGCTACAACTCAAGCTGAACTGGGATCCTGAAAGTGCTCCACAATCCTTTTGAGTGAGGGGAAGTCTCAGCTTTGGGCTCAGGGAAAAGGACACAATGGCAGGGAAGGCTTCCCTAGAAACAGGGCTCCATGGGCTCAGAGCCAGGGAGCCCAGCCAGGGGCCTGGTGAGCTGAGTGTCCCCGTGGGCTCCCTCTACTCACTCCACGACATGGACTAACCATGCCCTAGCAGTACGCTTCTGTCCTCTGGCTCAGCTCCCTGCAGGCTACCAGAACCTACCTGCTTATCCACCAGGGGTAGACCCCACTGCCACTTCTAAGACCAGCCATGGAAGGAGGAATTTAGTAGCTCCCATCAAGTTCTCTAGGGCTTGGCTCTAAGTTCCCTGGACCCTGAGCGCATGTCTGAGTTTGACCGCTCATTCCGGATCCCTGAGAATTTACCCAAACCCTCTGTCCCTTTGGTGTGGGAACCCTGCTTCGTTCTTGTTGTTCACCTTCCCTGAACCTTCCAGAAACCAGTAGTGGAAGCTTGTGTGCACAGGGCACTTCCCCAGTGTTGGCTGTGTCTGCGCCCAGGAGTAGGCCAGCACCTCTGCTTTCCCTCTCCAGGTCCCCGCCCACCTGCCACTTCCTTTCCTTTCTCAGAAGCCCGTGGCTAAGCTCCAGGCTGGCCCTTGGGCCTTCCCAGCCAAACACGCCTTGAGTCGGGATGCACAAGCTCTGCACCTGTCCCAGCACCAGGCCTGGCTGGCCCCTGGTTCCACCCTCCCCTCACATGGGCGACGTCTGGCTGGATCTCAAGAAACATCAGCTGGTATCTTCTTTACCTCATTTTCAAATGTAGATCCTAAATGCAGCAACGTGGTATAGTTTAACAACCCAATAGCACTCTTGGATCAACAGTTCATGGATCAATGACTTTAAAGTACAAAACAATCAGTGGTGGACTTCCTGGAAATTCCTTAGAACCCCAGTTCCCCAGCCCTGTGCCGGAACGTGGTTTAGGAGGCACCAGGGATGTGGCTCGTGAGAAGCCCTCTGGTGCCTCAGGGATGGAATCCGTGAGCTGGGCCGAGAAGCCTCACCCTTTAGAACAACCAGGTAAGAGCAGAGCAAATAAACACACAAATTTTGAAAATAATTTTTTAAAATATCCTTATGAACCTGTGGTCTATTAAAAGTTCTAACTGTTCTCCAGACTCTAAACAGTACCGTGAGGCTTTGAGGATCAAGTTATTACCATGTTTGGCAATTTTTATTAGTTGATAAGATGCAGTTCAATATGACTCTTTTCCATCAACTGCCTGGGGCTCAGAGCTGAATCTGGTGTGTACTTTTAGCAATTTGGCTATGGCTCCCTCCTTACTGCCTTTTACCCCCCAGCCCCCGGGCCACGTAGCTCTGTGGTGCCCTGCCTTCCCCTGTGCTATGGCTGCCCTCCTCCGGGAAGCCGGACGGAGAGTCTTCCTGAACACTCTGGGTGAGGCAGGGCCACTCACCCGTCGGAAATGGGTTTTGCAGACATGGGCACTTTGTTTCTGATGGCAATGGCCGTCAGCTTTTGGAATGGCAGGCGAGTGTAAAAGTTCTTCACTCTTTCTCCCAGGACAACTGCATGAGAAAGGAATGACAGCATTGAGAGAAAAGTGTGTYACACCTGTGGAAATACGAGGTCAAGAGAAAAATCCAGACCCAGCTCCCCTTAAAGACGGCACAGTAAACACGTGAATCTGCACTCAGCGCTCACCCCAAACCTCACTAAAAACAGTGAAGGAAACCCAGGAGGGTAAAGAGAAGGGGGCGAGGGCACGGCGCAGTCACGCCCTCTGGGGGGGCTGGAAGGCACAGGGAGGGGTAACGTCTGGCCCCTCAGATCTAAGAAGGCAGACTCCACTTTCCTGTGGGAGGAACCGAGACACAGGTCCATGTGCCTCTGGTCTCGCAGACGACCCTGGTGTTGGCAGCCAGGGGAGAAGGTGGCCTGAGCCAGGGAGGAGCTGAAAATCTCTTTCAGTAGAACTYGTCTGCAGGCACCTCCTCTGTATGCCCCAACTGAGAAGTGCCCTGCCCACCACCAGAGAAGACGGAAGKTTCTTCCTTCTGAGCAAGGAGACAGGGTCTCCTGGGTGCCCAGGGAGTGGMCACATGAACACCTCAGTAAAAGAGGAGGTCCCTCCACGTGACCTCCACGTGACTACTACAACTTTCCAAGCAGCCACACCTATCCACGCCCCTGCAGGTACTCCCCTGGAGGAAGGACCTAAAGGTGCTGACAGCAGGYGTGACCAATGGGTGGCCCRACCACACTGTCCTCAGAGAACCCACGACAAGCTCCCTCAGAACTGTCAGACTTTCCAGTTGTCTCATGGCCTCTKGTGAAAACCAGGGGCCACCTGACACCTGAGAAGGGMCTCCTACCAAGAAGACACAAGAGGAACTGAAGGGAACAGTATCGAGGGAAATAAAGGCTGCACAGGGTGAAAAAGAACAGATATGTCCTCCCTGATGTCCTTGGAGAGAATCGCCAGCTGGCGCGTTAAGCTCTCTGTGGCCGAGTCCTGCCTTTCACAGCCATTACTACTGAGGTGGAGCTAAAAYGCGGGAGTGGGGGGAGGAAAGAGCAGGACAGGCTTATTCCCACGTGGAGCTCCAGCTGAGGAGTACACCACCTGCGGCCCTCTCTGAGAGYTGGGCTCCAGAGCAGGACTCCTCTCCAAGTCAACACAATGCATTTCTGGATCACTCTACGCCTCTACAGGGAGCATGGACAATTTAAATTTTTTTAGAAAATGATATATTAACCTGGACATTTCTAAAACCACGGAGGCAGCAGCCCATTAGAAATCCGTGTCATGCAAACCCCACCAAGTGCTCACCTTTCTTCCGGAATAGGGCACTTGGCTGGTGGGGCAGGGTTAGGCGGCAGCCCCTGGAGCTGGACTCTAGGACATCATCACATGCTTGGGCCTCTGGGTAGAGGGAGCAGGTGAAGTACAAGGGTGCCCTGTCTGTCACCTCCACCAGCTGACAGAAAGCAGGCTCCTGGAGACAGCCTGTTGGAAGAGAGCGGGTTTCAGTCCTTGGGAGGTCCAAGGGGAGTTCCCCCTAAAGATCTCCTGGGAGGAAATGGCAGGTCGGATCTCTTTTTAAGGCAGAATCCCAGGGCAGTCATGGATGTCCAGTCTGTAAGGCACAACACAAAAGCCYAAACACTGGGGTTCTGCTGGCTGGAGAGGGCCCAGATGGCCCTGAGTGAGGACAGAAGACAGGTGKAGTGGAGTGAGGTGGAGTGAGGGTTGGGCCCCACACTGAGCAATACCAGAGGTGAAAGACAACACTCAGGACCTGCTGACCAGAGGCCATGGGACTGTAAAATCAGCTTTGTGATGACCTCCCTGTCCCCACACCCGTGTCCATCTGTGAGCTCATTCTCATCTGTGAGGGCAAAGAACTTTGCTGATTCCTTTTATTTATGTATGTTTTTAATCYGCAAAGTCAAATGCCAGGCCTAGAACCGATGGATAGATGGATGAACAGATGGACAGATGGACACGAGGTCTGAAGCAGAACAGAGAAGGACCACACTGAGTTTCTGGGGGACAGGCCTTAGCTCCCGTCTTTCTCCTAGGAGGACAGCGGCCCCTGGTCATCTTCTCTGAGTCTGACCTTTTCTGTGCCCAGCAGGGGCTGAAGTAGGCCTGCGGTGTGCCCCACAGGGCCTGGAAGGAGGAGGACTGGGCTTGAGGATACTCACGAGAGAGGCACCAGCGTTCTGCCTGCGGGGCGGAAAACAGGCGTTTGAAAAGCCAGGACTGCTGGCCGGGCAGGGGTTGGCTTGCGTTGATGGTGACCTGGGTAAGGTCCACAGGGGAGAAGAGCTCTGCTGTCAAATCTGAAAGAGGAGAGTCGAGGTCCTTGGCCTTTGTCGGTCTGGGGAATAGGAAACCGACAACGAGTCTCTCTAGTCAAAGAGGGGCCCAGACTTTCCTGGGTGGGGGGCTTGCAGCGGGGTCTGCTCTTGCTGTGTCCTCATGCTCGTCTCAAACATGCAGACCCACCGCAGCAACCTGCTGCAGAAAGAGGGGGATTCCTCCTGCACCTTGAATCACAGCGCTCATTCCCACAGACACCAGAACATGAAYGCAGGCAGCCTGCGCCCTGCCTCGGTGGGATTTCTCCTGCAGGTGTTTGTCTCCCTTCGCTCAGGAATGGGAGCACTGCGAAAGGGAAACCAAGCTGAGCTCTGTCTAATGGTCCTAAGCCCCTCAAGGTGAGGACCACGCGGAGCTCCCCTCCCAGGGGAGAGGGAGGATGGGCCCTTCCTGCGGGAATCACATGAGAGTGCCGTGATGTGGCCTTGGCAGGGTTTGAGGATGGATTTTAAAATGTCCTCAAGTGCTACCACTGCATACACATGTACCTTGACCTGAGCTGCAGGGCCACCTGTAAGGGGCACTGCGAAGCCCTGGTTGCTCATTGGTGAGATGGGAACACCAGCCAGCAGAGTTGGGGTAATGTTTGTGAGATGACGTATCTAAAGCCCCAGATGCAGGGCCTGGTACCCTGGAGGCTGGGAGGAAGGAGATCTCACTCTCCTRCAGCCTTTCCTGCTCAGCCTCTTTCAGCAGGAAAGCCATGGCCAGCAACAGGTGACCTGGAACAACACAGTGCTCTGGGAAGGCTGATTTGCCAACTTACTAGCAGAGATCAGGAGCCGAGGGGCCAGGTCATGGTGCAGAGGGCCCTAGCCAAAAGGACAGGCAGGGGAAAGTCCCCTGAGCAGGTACCCCCCCCCCATCACCCTGATGGCAAAACTGAAGCTTCCAGTGGAAAACCTCTGAAGGGGCAGAAGGACACCTGGGCCGAGGGGGCTTGGGACAGGAACGCCATCTGTGCCCCTCCTTCCTATCCACACTGGGATCTGGTGTCTGATAGGAAATACAGGAAGAGAGAAGAAGGGGATAGCGCTGGCTGAAAGCTGTGAGCCAGGCTCTGTGCCAGCATCATAACCCCAACACACCAATTCATGAGCGCCAATTCATGAGCATGTGCTCCGGGTCATGGTGGTTTACAGAATTACCTCCATCTCATTCCCAAATCGCCCTGTGCTGTGGTCATGATTCTCACTTACAGATGAAGAAAATGAGGCTCAGAGAAGGTGACCCACCCACTTAGAGTTCCACAGGCAGAGACAGAGTAGGACTTGAACATGGTCCCCTGACCAAGACCCCACTCTGAGCTGGGAGCCACTCCTCACAGCTCCCAGCAGCTCCAGTGCCGAATGAACCCAAGAGGGCTCACCCATTCCTGTGGGAGGAGCCTGATTTCAGTGCCTTAGGTGTAACATGCCATCTGAGCTGCACGGAATCTCGGGACAGGGAAGGAACGGCCATTTCCCAGGTGTGAGCTAAGCACCAGGAGATGTGAAGACGAGGTGGGCCACGTCCTTTCATTCTCGCATCATCTGTCTCAGCACCCAGCCATGCAGCCATGCCATGGCCCCAGAGCTAGTCTCCGCTCTGGGCTGCTCCCTGTGCTGGAGGACTGGTCTGCCTCACTTTGTTATGGAGCACATGTCCCCCAGTGTCCAAGTGTCTAGGACTTAATTCCCAGTGCAAGAATGCGGGGAGATGATGAGGGGTGATCAGCCATGAGGGCTGTGCCCCACAAATGGCTTATAAAATCAGGTTCTGCGCCATCTTACTCTGTCATGCTCCTCTGATGCCTTCTGCCATGTAAATACATAGCAGGAAGGCCCTTACTGGATGTGACCCCTTGGTCTTGGACTTCCAGCCCCCAGAACCATAAGCCAAATGAACATCTGTTCATTATAAAGAACCTCAGTCGGTGGGATTTTGTTATAGCAGCACAAAATTGACTAACACTCTCTCCTTCTCCTTCCTCCCCCCACTCCCAAGTTTCAGCTCCACCTCTGTAATAGCAACTGTGGGTCCTGGAGGCAGAGAAGTCTCAGACACTGCACTGTGTTGTCCCTGTTAATGTTTCCACTGCATGTCAGGACTGTTTCAAAAGAATCTCCTGGCCATCTGCTCATCAAACGGTCCAGGAATATCTATGTTCTGCTTTCACTCCTCAGGGTTGACCTAGTGAAGCCACTGACAGAGGCTGAGCCTTGCTCTGTAATGCAGGTAGATTTGTTTCTGGGTTAGTTATTATTGATGTTTTTGTTTCTAGAAACAGTAATACATTTGCAATGATTCTGCCCTGTTTTCTGTGCCATGTGCCCATCTGAGCCCCCATATTTGTGTAGTGTATAATTGGGTCACAAGCTTAGAGCGGAATAGTGACAGCAACAGGTATGCTCATGGATGAGGCCCTGTGCTGCCACCTTATCCCCATAGCCACGCACTCTAGTGTGTCCGGGGTCGATACCTGTCACCAGTGGAAATCCTGGCCCTGGTTCCACATCTCTCCTACATCCCATGGACTCCGGCCTTGACCCCATGTCGGAATCTAGAAGGAATAAGAGTGCTTGTAATGAGGAGGGGAAGGAGGGACATTCCTTTGGTTTAATAAACAGTGGTGGCAGGAGTATAGGAAACGCTTATGGGGCCCAGCTACATGCTGCAGATGAGACCTGGAACAGACGTGCAGCCCAGGCCCACTCCCTGCCTTGACCCAGCTTTGGCTAAGCCCTCAACAGCAAACCACCAACGTCCACCGTGCTGCACAAGGAGCAGAATGCTCATGAACACTGGTGTTGCAACACCCTGAGAAGGTAAGGAATGGGATCCCCATGTTCCTCCTGAGAAAGCTGGGACTCGAGGGTGATATAGTGTATCCCAGACCACTTAGGGTCCTGGAGGCTCAGAATGTGGTCAGCAGACACATTGGAATTTGAAAACATTTAACAAAGTTCCATGGCACCACTCTCCTAGGGTCCTGGTCCCCTGCCCTGAGCCTTGTGGAGAGGGATACAGAGGCAAGTCCCCTTGGGAAGTGCCTCCTGAGGTTGGTGGCAGCCTCCACGCGCCCATTCTGATACAGGACAGCTTGTCAGTGAACCCCATCTCCCAGGGACACAGAGCTCCCCTGCCGTACTTCCTTGGGTTTCCACGCTGTTCACCTTCCATTTAGACTTGGATCTTACCTAATGAGGAGCTGGGCCTCCTGTCCCACAGGCAACACTCCTTAGAAAACACCCCTACCTGTCTCTACGGGGAGCGGAGCGCCCTGTGAACTAGGGCTGGGGCTAACGTCAGGGAACAAGCGTCCCACTCACCACCACTCAGCTTACCTTTCCAGAGGTAAACCTGCTGGAAAATGGTGATGGTGTCTTGAGCTCCTTCCAGGGGCACCAGACCTGCAAAGGAAGAGTGCCATTTTTATGTGCTGTGCGTTCCTGATCTCACTAGACACCCGCGATCACCACAAGTGTCCCACMTTCCCCTCGGAGTTCCCCTGCACCTGAGAACTCAGATTCCCCCACAGTGTGGCCCCAAAGCCTCCTGGAGCTCTATTCCTGCTCCTGTGTACAGAACCAGAGCTGCTCAGACCTCAAGTGTCCTGCTCAGGGCACCAAAGGGACTCTTGGTGAGGAGTCCTGAACCTGTGGCTTAGGGCACTGGGATTGGCCTATAGAAAACAAATCCCCAGGAGACACGAGAGTGGGCTTTCCACATTGCTTAGCTCCTCCTTACCAAGGAGTGGGCTGGCACCTACCAATCCCCTCTACCTCATTCCAATGAGGACAGAATAATGTAGAGCTGTTCTCTTCTGGGCCCTCACTGACATGCAACCAAATGTTGCCAGCTACTATCATTTAATTCATTACTAATCAACTTTTTTTTTTTTTTCTGGCAAACACTGCTCCCTTCAATGCCACCTGGACAAGACTGGGTTTTCACACCATTCCTTGAGCCCTGTGTTCCTCTTTTGCCTCCTGCAGTCCTCRGGCCCTGCCAAGACAGGGAAGGCTGAGGAAAGGGCTCTGAGCCAGGAACCTGGAGGGAGGAGAAGGCTGGCTGAAGGGACATCAAGAGATGAACAACTGTGTTTATTACTAGGAGCCTGCTCTAGATGGCAATTTGGGCCATTACCCAGCACTGTAATGAGCACCTTCCATACATCACCCAATTTAAACTTCATGGCCAGGTTGTAGGAAAGGTCTCCAGGCTCCAGGTGAAGAGACCAAAGTCAAGGGAGGTGAAGGCCAGAGGTCAAATCCCAGGTGTCAGGCTTCACAGCCCATGTTCTTAACCAACACACCGAGGACCGCAAATCCCACAATCCTGTCCATCCCAGTGGTAGATAATCTAAAGGTTCTTGTGTTGAAAGAGACATGCCCTCAACTACTTGTAAAACTCAGCTGTCACAGTGATGAGCTTCCCCAGAATGATCACATCCCTGAGGGCGGGGGCGGGGTGGGCAGACCCTGAGCTGTGCTGCCATTGGATCATGCTGCAGAAAGCAAAGCAAATAATGCCCCCAGGACTTGTCGGCCTGGACCTGAGTTCCCCCGGACCTGAAGTAACACGTTTCTTACAGGACRCGCTCAGGATTCTCTCACCCTCTTGAATCAGAGCCCATGTGAGCCTGCTATCTGGGGCCCCAGCCTTGGCTCTCTGAAACTGTGAGGCTTGTTCTGCACACTTCGGAGGAGAGCACCCTGTGCTCCCTGCAGCGGCCCGGCAGAGTGGCAGCAGCTACTTGGCTGGTGCTGTTGTCCCACCCTCCTTGTGACGCCATCAAGTGCTCATGATACAGGTCAGGCTGTGGAGCTTTGGTCCTTGTCACAACAGAAATCAGAGAGTTTGTTTTCTTAGATCTTTTAATACCTAAATCTATTTGATATAGTGATTCTTTCAGATAGAAACCTATTTTGGTGATGTAGATGTAAACTGAGTTTTCAAAATACTCAGACTGTGTGTTAGGAGTCTTAACCTATAAGAGTGGATTAAAGAACTTCTTATCCCTAAGCTGCTTTGGTGCTCTTAAATCCCAGACTGAAACCAAGGACCACTTCAGGAACGAGTTCACCATGGGATCCTGAGGGGCATTTAGATGGTGGGCCCCCAGGCTGGCCCCTTGAAAAGAGCAATRATCCTCCCAGGATTCCCAGAGGAGGGTCCTTGCCTCTCCGCAGCCTGTTGACCCCTGAGCTGTGGCCCCTTTTACTCTGTCTGGACCGTCTTATTGTCATCTGGTGTGTGGCCTACTTTACATAAAGTGCAAAATCACAGATGCCCTCATCACCCAACCAAGAATGGATGGCCACACAGGTGCACACAGCTGTCATGCTTGGGCCCAGAATGCAGTGCGCTATGTAGGTTCCAGGCCCACTTATGTCCTTTGTCCACCCCAAGGCATCTTCAGGCCCAGGAAATAAGGYATCTTCACCCCAGGGTGAAGACGGGTGCTCACCACAACACAATTCAAGGGAGGTGAATCCAGGGGAGCACAGTTAAATTTGCACGTGGATCTGAGCACGTTGGCCATCCAGCAGGTCCCCCAACCAGCAGCTACCGAGGCTTTTGTGCCCTAGGAAGCTTCTTTGTAATGAGCACAGGGAAGCAGCAGCCCCTAATGACGTTCAGTATTAAAGTGATTGCCAAGTCTCCACAGGGGACTGGAAGCCTAAAACAGGACACGTATTTGCAAAGGCCCCCTTCTCCTGGGAGCACAGAGGTCAATGCTGAGAAGAGCTTTAGACCTCTGGGTCCTGGAGAGCAGAGGACACAGCCTTAGCAAGCTGGCCTTCACCTCATTTATGCCTTTCCATCTCTCGAGACTCAAGGCCCTTCCCTCTGCCTTTTGACTCCTCTCAAGAGTGCTCTTTGTTGAGGAGTACATCTAGGTGCTGGAGCTCAACACAGCCTCTTTGAGAATCATGCCTCCCTGTCCCTCAGGTAGATATAAAACAGAAATGTTAACAAGCTTGCTTTTCTCTTGTTGACCTGTCTTGTTACAGAAGTCTCTTCTCATGAAGTAGAGATTATTTCTCCTTCTACATATTCTGAGCAGCTCGTGCCCAGCTCTGTCCTCGTGGATGGTCTTCCCCGTCACATCCAATGCTTGCTCTCAGGGCTCCCCATCTGTGCATGAAATTTTTCTCTCCACCTACAGCCTTTATCTCTTGCATTATCTCAGCCTCCACTCATTCTCTAATGCTTCTGGAGGCTTCCCTGAACCCTCTGGTGGGAGGGTGGCGTGCCTGCACTGAGAATGCCCATCTTCTGTTTACAGCTGATGGCCAATGCCTGCCCTGATATCCTCTGAGCCTYCTGAATAACATGAGCTGCTAGAGCTCTTTAGGGGAGCTTGGCTCTCATTCTTCTGCACTTCAAGACGTGKTGAGTGATCCAGCCCAGGCCATCTAAGGCTTTTTTTCTTAGAAATGAGAAAGTCAATCAAAACAGCAACAAATGGTCAAAGATGTCATGGGAAGCATGGGAGAGGCAGACCCTGGATGAATCCCCCTCTTCAAATACACATCCATTTAGGAACAAGATGAACAGAAATCTCATCTCGGCCCCATCTGTCCCTGCTGGCAGGAAGGTGTCCACATTGAGTCCAATCGTCTCCAGGTGTTTCRTGGGGTTGTCTGTAGATGTATTTGTCTGCTGTGGGCTGGCATTACAAGGCAGCCCTGAACTTCAGTGGGGCAGGGAAACTGGACGGGGCTTGGATGGTGGGAAGCTGCTAACGGAGCCTTCTTTTTTCCTGCAATCCTTTGCTGTCCACTAAGGTGGCTTGACTACGCTGGGAGCTCCTTGACAATAGAAACCACCCCAGCCACCTGGTACCTGGCTGGTGTCTCATGTCACCTGGCAGGGATTCTCTGCACGAGCAATGGAGGAGAGACCACAGCTGTGGCCACCTACAAGGACTGTCACCAATTTGCTTCCTCCATGACCAACCACAGGTTTTCCTCTTGTCTTGGCCACTCACCCACTCTGAAGGCTTGAGCCCAGCCACCGCACCAAGACAAAGAGTTTCCTAAAGCAAGTGTGCCACCACCCTGACTACATCCTGGGTCACATCTGCCTCCCAGGTCAGCAAAAGACCAGCTTTGCTGGTGGACGTGAAAGTCTTTGCATCATGTTCTGTGAATACTGATGCATAGAACTTTGTGTCTTCTGGGTGGTAGTTTCATACCCCTGGCAGCTAATTCGCTGTTTCAGAAGTGAATGCTACTTCTCCATCAGCCAGGCCATCTGCTGAACCAGACTCTGACCCCAGCCACGAGCAAGATGTCCTGCAGAGCATCTCTGGGATGGGCAWTGGACAGTGGGGGAGACCAGGCACCAGGGACTCAGGAAATGGTGTCTTTGATGCCTGCTCCTGCAGAGCATGCCTGCCTCATTCAGTGATYCAGAAGGGCCCCTATTTCACAGATCCAGACCTAAGACTCGGGGTATGTCAGTGCCTTGATAAGCTCACAGAGCTGTGGGGGAAGAGCAGGATTCGGCTCCAGGAATTTTAAACCMAAACCATGCTTGGAATCCCTTCCCTACCTTGCTCTGTGGGCTTTGTGTGCACCCCCCGCCTCCCCAGCTGCCTGGAGACAGCAGTCTCCTCCTCCTCCTCACATTGGCATTGGCAAGGCCGGGGAAGGCCACACAGTGAGCAAGCATTTGCCATGCAATTCGAATCCTGGGGTCTGCAGGGTTGACACTGCCCATTGTGCTCAATGGAAAGAAAGAGACTGGCCTTAACCAACTCTGAAAGGGATAGTGTGTCATTTTCGTTTGTTTGTTATTTCATTTGGCTTTTCATTCCTCATGGTCTTTCAATCCATCCTACGCCCTGTCCTTCAGTTGTTTGTATCTCTGGAATCCTCATTTCTCTTTCCCTCCATCAGTATCTGCTCTTAGCCTTTAACTCTTTAGTAAAAATTTAAATCCTGTGTTCCTTGTCCCAGCAGTTAATTTTACTTAAATACTGACTTTTTATTGTGGAAAAGGGTTTTTGCCCTCTTGTTCTCATTTGGAGGTAGCCTTCTGACCAGTCTGGGTATAAAGGCAACCTCTGGTTTGAAATACCCCAAAGATACCTCAGGCTAGCTGAAGTCCCCACAATAGAACAGTTTTCTTAAGCCTTGCTCTCATCCCAGAAAACACACACACATAAAGGTCACTAAAAAAATCCAAAGTCTTCAAGAAAAGTCATGTAGTAATTGGTGTTTTGCAGAGAGGCCAGGCAAGGGCAAATTCTTCATTCTTGGGCACATACCAAGCAYATGCTCTGGGACAAGCAATTTGCTATGAATTTATTGCCATGAATATATCATATGTCTTTCTTGAAATGTCTGTTTTCACCCTGGGCTACATCTTAAAGTAATGAATACCACATGTTTAGTGACTATCATATAAATAAGCTTTTTTCTTTTATTTACCCCAAAAGAAACTATTCAAATCTCATGGAATTTCAACAAATTCTGCAATATTTTTTCCAGGCTTTGATCACTGTGTACCAAGAAGATACTAGTACATCTTCCATGCTGGGTTTTATGCTCTATGGTGTGATTCCAGAAATTAACCTCACACAGTCCAGATCTTAAAATATTACAAAGAGCAAATGAAATTTTTTTTTAAAATAGCAACAGTGTCACCTGTGCTGACACTGTATATCAGGCAGCACACAATGCTCTGCCTGTGCTGCCCGTGGGTGCCACTGGAGGGTGGCTCTGCCCCTCAGCTCTGAGCCAGGAGGCCTGGTTCCCATTCCTCCACTTCCCAGCTCTGAATCCCTCAGAAGTTGCCTCCCTCCTGTGAACTGCAGGGTTTCACACTGTGAGATGGGGACAGAGGTAGGAAGGGAGCTCCCTCAGAGCGTCAAGCGAGCACACACATGGCCTTGGGGGGAGCGGGGCCACAGTAAGCACCTTGCCAGGCGCTGCTAGGAAGAGCCCCTGTCCTCCTCCCTCTCCCCCCCCACCTCCACCTCGCTACAACACTGACGCAGCCGTGGCCAGCACTCCATTCCAAGGACAAGAAATTGGGCCAGAGGAGATGCACCAATTTCCCCAGATCACACAGTGGACTTCAAAGTTAGGACTCCCCACTGCAGGAAAGGGCTGACAGACAGACAGAGCACAGTAGAGGGTGTGGCCTGACAGGAGGGAGGGGCCACAGGAGGTGCAGGAGCAGAGGAAGCAGTGTGCTCTTCAGTAATCAAGAGGGCACTTGGAGGAGGTGACAGGAGCCCTCCACCACTAGAATACGGAGAACCTGGGGGCCACATCCTGCAGTGACAAGAGCCCCAGGAGCACCTKCGGGATGCCTCCTTTGGCCCTCTAGCCCCAGGGCACCCATCTCACAGCACAGGGCTGGGGAGGGAGCACGCGTTGCCTCTGGGTTCGGTGCTGGTGGGTAGACAGAGCAGGGAGGAAGGGAGAGGGAGCAGGATRGGGTTCCCCGGGAGCTGGAGGAGGGGAGCCAGCAGCCAGGCCCCTGCTCTCCTCACCACTCAGACTCTTGGGGTTGGAAGGAAAGTTCTGGGCATTGGTGTGGCCCAGACATTGCACGCAGAGGCATTATCTGGACAGCTTATTGGAACACAGATTCCTAGGTCCCCTGGAGGGCTGAGAATCTGTATGACAAACCTGGTGGCTGGTCCTGCCATTCCTGGTCCCATGAGTAGCCCCGGTCYGAGGACAGAGTAGGAAGCCCCTTTGTCCAGATGGGGGTCTACGGGGAGATGYGGCTCAGGGTTGGGAGAGGCAGGAGAGCTGACAGGCCAAGGGCCCCAGGTGCTCACCACAAGGATCTGTGAATCGAGGGGTCAGACTGGTCATTGCAGGGTGCCTCCTAGCTCTACACTCAAAAGCCTGGAAGAAAGAAAGTTCCCAAGAGCTTCCGGAGGAGAGACAGGGAAGGAGAACCTGGATGGCGACTCCTGCACCCTGAGCCCTTGTTTTGGCAGAATGGTCACTGGTGCCACCTGGAGTCTCTTCACCCACAGCAGGGAGTCTGGGGTGAGTTACAATGTTCTGCAAGTTCACCTCAATCATGTCCACACACTTTGCATGTGACTTTGCAATTGTYCCTACTAAAAGGCACAGAGCACGTGTCCTGCCTCCTGGCTTCTGGTTTGGCCACATGACTTGGTTTATGCAGGGAGACGAGGCAGAAAAGACAGGCTGACTAGGACAGAGTAGAAAAGAGTAGGAAGCCATGAGTTTAAGAGGCTCTGCTTCCTTGTTCTTTTCTGCTTCTGCCACCTACAGGAAGAGAAGAAGCTCATCCCAGTGAGGATGAGACCCACCTGCCGCAGGCCCAGGCCTCCTAGCTGGGCCCAGACAAGCTCAGCAATGCCATCYAACCTGGACTCTGAGGGATTCCGCAGAGACCAGCAGAGCTGCCCATCCGGCTGCCCAGCCTCTAGCAGCTCAGCTGCTGCCTGGCTGGAATGTGCTGAGCTGATGTGGGCATTTCCTAGCAGCATTATCGGTACCATTCTCCTTTCAGAAGGGGCAATTCTTCCAGAGCACGAAAGAATGCAGAAGAAATCTGCAGAGCTCTCTCAGGGTGCAAGAGGCATTTTGAAGGAATATGGACAAAAGGCAGGGACTTACTCTTCATGATCTCCTGGCCTCCAAGATGAAATGTCACCTGGTGGCTCTCCGGGTCATATGTCACACCAGGACACGTAGCATTGGCCTGAACTTCAGACGAGGCCRTCCAGTCATCGACATTGCAAAGCAGGACATCTGGGGAGCTCAGCAATCCACAGAAGATGGGCCCTGCAGAGGCAGAGAGGGAGAAGAGACAGGGGATGGGGGGAGAGCCAGCAGGCCCTTCAGAAGGTCATGAGCGAAGCCGCCAGAAAGTTAAATGACTATTCAGSCCGTGGCAGAGGATGCAGTGGGAGTCTGTTCCTGGTCATCAGCAGACCCAGCCAAAGCTTTGTAGTTAAAACTCCAAATCTGCCCACTGGACGARCTGGAGAAGGACATCTGCTTGACACTTTATGCGGCCCTCGGAGAGGGCTGGACGTACCATGGCTGGTGATTGTTCAGATTAGCATAGCTACAGGGCACAGGCTGAGCCCAGAGAGCAACAAGCAAGTTGCCAGCCAGAAGTGTGGTGGAAAAAGGATTTGCTGCTCCGTGGAACAAAATAATTTTTCCATATATGATCCTAAGGAAAAGCAAATCAGCCTTTCCAACTTGAAGGATCATATGGTCCAGAAAGCAATTGAGCATCTGGAGAAATTGCAGTGTCCACCAAAGACATGTTTAGTTCAAGGAGGCAGCCTGGGTTGGAATTACAGGGTTGCTAAATATGGGAACACATGAGGCCATACACAGGAGAGGGGAGTACGTGTGTGTGTGTGTGTGTGTGTGTGTGTGTGTGTGTGTGTGTGTGTGTGTGTTTTCCCTACATAAGCACTAACAGAAATCCACATCACATAAACATGGAGTACTAAACCTAGAAGGGATTTTAGGGATCTCTTTACCCTAACCCTGGTGCCTGTTCCCCCACCTGACTCCAACATTTTCCAATAACCCCCTCCTGAGCTCTCAGCTGATTTGGGGCTGTCAGCCCCCTCTGGGCCCGCCCTCTCCCACCAGGTTCTCCATCATGGAGCTCCTGGGGCTTCTCCCCTGTCTGGCTGCTCCTTTGTTCTCTAGGCAGATTTTCTACCCTTTTTGTGGGTGTTTATTGGGATCAGCTTCATTTCCCCTTCAACTTCTCTCTTCCTAGGAAAACCCATCCACACYCACACCTTCTCATACCATCACGGTGCTGCGACCCACCCGCTAACACCTCCCACCCAGACTTCCTTCAGAGCTCTGGAGCTTTGTACCCAAAAGCTTAGGTCATGTTTTGTGGTGTCTCAAAGGTGTTTCAAATTTAGTGTACCCCAAAGGAACTTAGGACCACCCTGAATCTCCCTCTTCCATCATTAAACACAGCACCTGGTGTCCACGATTTGCCCCATGAGCAGACTCTYGAGGCAAGGAATAAGCAAGATATTCGAGAATGGTCTTCACACACCTATTCCCCAATCCCCGTGTCTGTCATCCTGTTGGACTGGCTTCCTCAGGAGGCCGTGCACCTGCCTCCTTTCCCCACCTCCACCCCACTGCCTGAGCCCAAGCACTGCCTTCCTGGATGTGAGGTGTTCCCCGAACCCCTCAGAGCTCACATCTTGGTTTGTAATGCTGAAGGCTGCAGAAGAGAATAAACAGTCTCAGCGTGAAGAGGCTGGCACAGTGTACCCCACGAGGAAGGGGTCAGTGCCTGGCCATGACACCATGTGGCTGTCACTATTCGGGTGTGGTGGCCTGATGTTTGCACCTCCCCAAGCCAGGCCCCAACTTTCATGTCCTGGCTTGTGTGTCCCTCCATGTTTTCTGTCCCTGGCTAGGCCCCAGCACTCCCAGCAGCCTCACCTCCTTTGACCTGTGAAAGGACAAAGCCGTCGCARCAGGAATCTTGGTCACAGGCAAGGAGACAGAAGAGGTGCACGTCCGTGAGGTTGGCTCCCGAGGCCGAGAACACCACAGGGCTGTACAGTCCGGAGAGCGTGTTCTGGAAGCCAGTGGGTTCAAAGCTTTTCTGGCCCACTGTGGAGGACTCTTGGCCTGGGCAAGGGCAGAACAGAGATAAAAGACCTCAGAACCTGCAGAGTGGAGCAGAGCACTGATCTCAGATGCCAGCTTGTGARCCRGCTCTGGGCATGCAGGGGACAGCGKGTGGGCCAGGCGAGACGCTGTCTGTGCCATGAAACTGCTGGAGTTGGCTGTGCATGAAGAGGATAGAGCCAGGTGAGGCTGTGGCCCATAGCCAGCAGACCTGGTGAACGCCCCGCAGCCTGGGAGGATCTGAAGGGAACATTGCTTTTATTATTCCCAGGAATATCTGTGAACAGGCACTGTGGCTCTGTCTGCGGCTCTGTCTGCCGCTCCCCCATGCCACTGCCTGGTGTTGTCAAGCATCAGCAGGGAAGCGTGGCCCACACRCAGCCGCACACACACAGGATGGGGCACAGTGCCATCGCTTTGCCTCATAGTGGCCTCAGGACTCTGCCTTCAAGGAACAAATGCAACCTCTTCCCTTTGCTCTGTGACCAGCCCTTGCCTCCCCAACTCAGCTTCCTTGCCCCTCCCTGACCCCTGCCCTTCAGCTGCTTCACCTTCTCACATTGTCTGCAGCATCTTAGGAATTCAACACATCCTTGCTAAAACTATGTGGGCATTTAAAGTAAAATGTCAATTATGTTTTTAAACCGGTCCTCTGGTGAAGAGTGGCAGGGTTTGGGTTTTGCCTGCTGCTAACCAGCTCTCCCATGAGCCCTGTCAATTTTAGGGTTTAGAGCACCATTTTGCCGATGTGAAGTTTTTCAGGGGYTTCTACATATAGCAGTGCAGTCAAMATGCCTGTCCTGTCCTGTATCCCATTTTACATTTACATGTAAGACAGCCTTTACATGTGAGCTGTTTCGCCAGGGCCTTCAGCTGGTGTGTGGCAAAAGGGACACCAGAACGAAGGTTCCTCCCCTCCYGGACCTCCCGTCAGTCAGCCCAGGGGCATAGGCTCATGCTGCTGGTGCCTGGAGGCGGCTGGGAGCTCACGGTGAAATCCCATGGCCCTGAGGTCAGACGCCAGCAGCACCCAGCCAAGCAAGCTCCTAATTGCTTGGAGACTCAGCTTCCCTGCCTGAGCAAGGGGAATGATCATGTTAACCCTTGTGGATGTTGAGCGGATACAAAGATAAAGCCCAGAGAAAATCCCTGAGCRATGAGCTGCACCTGGCTCCTGCCCGGCAGTTCTTTCTGAGCTGCCCACTCCAGAGTTGCCTCCTTCCAAGTGTAGGCGCGCTCAACCCCTCCGTTGGAGGCCTTCCAACCGTGCAGGGCAAAGCCACTCCCTGAGGCCCAGCTTACCTAGGGTCTACACTGGGCTGTCACTGCTAGAATTCACCCTCCCTCCACCTTCCTCACATTCCATTGGCTGCTCTGTGAAAGGCTCCATCATTTAAGCTACWTGGGGTAGTGTCTGCCAGCCTGCAGGTTCCAGAGAAATCCCGAGTCACCAGTCAGAAGTGACAACTCAAATGTCTATTTCACCTAATCGAAGTTAYTGTAATAGCCACATTCCAAGTGCTCAGTGGTCACGTGGAACCACTGACTACCATTCAGAGAGTGCAGTTGGCCTGGGGTCGAAGTCCATGTCTCAGCTGACTTTGGCATCCTCCATGCAGGGCAGGTGGCACGGAGGACCTCCTACCCTAAGATCCTGGTGTGGTGAGCTCCTTCCCAGGCTGCAGGTCTCCGTTCCAACACCTCCTCTTCTGAGGTCCCTTCCKTGACCACCCTCGAGCAGCTCATGCCCACCTTTACCCCACCGTCCCATTTTTCTCTAAGCAGTGTCCTTTGAAATGGTCTTGTTGCTGAATTCACTCCTTGGTCAATCAGCGATTCTGTTTTGTCCATGGTGCCTCCWTGGTACTTAGCATACAGTAGACACCCAGTAGTGAGGTAAGGACGGGTCAGTGCTGAGACGCCCCGCACTGTGTCAAGTCCTAGATGATGGAGCATGTCAGGGAGGTCTTTTGTTGAAGAGTTTGTTTTGTTTTTTGGTATTGAGGATTGAACCCAGGGGTGCTTAAACACTGAGCCGAATTTCTAGCCCTTTTTATTTTTTTTTATTTAGAGACAGGGTCTCTTTAAATTACTTAGGGCCTTGCTGAGTTGCTGAGGCTGGTTCTGAACTTGGAATTGTCCTCTCCCACCTCCTGAGTCGCTGGATTACAGGTGTGACCACAGCACCAGGGACAGAGTCTTGCAGATTCCACAGAGGTTCTGCCTGGTGCAGTGGGCAGCAAGGTACTTCCTCCTCCTGGACCTCCCCTCTGAGACCAGGCAGGKCTAGACAACCTCTGAGGACACTCCTATGGTTCTGAAAGGTCACCTGGCTCCTCCTCYAGCCTCCAGGCCCACAGACATCAAGGAGGTGTACACAGCGGAGGGCACTGGAGGGCAGGTCAGGCTATGGATCTGTGTCCCTTTCTTTGGTCCCATCTTCCAGGTCACATAGGGTGAAGATGTGACTGGACATGATTAACTGCCTTCTAGGTACCAAGGACTGTTCAGAAATTGCCCTTTTTCCTGCTCAGTGGTGACTTATYGTTCCCATTCTACAGAAAACAGATTGAGCTTCAAGTGATGTTAAGGAGTTTCTCCTGATGAGAGGCAGAGATGGAAGGTGGAGGGAGCCATGGCCAAACGGACTAGGTGCAGACGCCCTTCTCCTTCTGCACAACTGCTGCTTTAAWCAAAAAAGCAAAGCAAAACAAAAAAAGCCAACCAAATTCTGCCCTTGATTTAGTTTGGCAACAAGGAGGGCCTCCCAGTGTTCCCTTGTAATCTGCCTCCAAAGTGCAGACTTTCAGGAGATGAGGGCAGAAAGAACAAAATAACAAACACTTGAGAAAYACAGTTGCATTTTTTAAAAATGCGATAAAAGGTTAATTATGGTTTTAAAGAACATTTTTAGTAGCGGTTACCTGTTTACTTTGKTATTTATTTTTAGAAAATAATTCTATGCTTTGTTATTTTAAAAGAAAAAAATGCATGGTAAGAATAATTAGAATCAACACTGAGGCAGAAATCCTAGTGACTCTGGCCATGGATCAGAAAAACCAGACTCTGTCAGATTCTGGTCCCCCAGGGAAACTGTCTGCTAAGTCAGAACAGAGGCACTGAGAGAAAGGAAGACCAGAGAGGGGGAATGGCAATGGTCATCTCTGCCGTGGCTGAAGGCTGCTCTGTGGGTYAGTGGAGGCTCAGGGCCTGACCCCGCATGGTCTTCACCTGCTGCCAGCTATACCCAAGCTGGCAAGCCTGAACAAGCCTGCAGCTGCTGGGAGCCCTGGGACACTTGCCTTGAGCTGCAGACCCCAGAGAAGGRCAGCCGTCCATTTCCAGCCCAAGTCCCAGTACCAGCCAGTGTTGGCTGCCTTCTGGTCCACAGCCAGCCTTGGGACATCAGGAAACTTCTCAGCAAGA